ATGTCGTGCGTGTGTGTGGGGGGGGGGAGGGGTTCTCTGGGATTATAGTCTCCTGAGACACGAACAAACCTCAAAAGTACCCAATATACCTCGATGCCCAATCAATTATATTCTTTTAGAGATGGAGGAGCTCTATATCACGGCCCGCAAAAGCGAGCCGATCGCTAATCTTCCATGTTTCTCGATAACCCGGTGTGTGTCAGGAAGAACTACCGATTAGTCAAGGGAAAGTATGTTGTTCCCTGAAGGTACCGGAAGTTTATCCTGACTACACTTGAGAGTGTCTGAAAGCAAAGAGCCTAGCGAGCAAAAGTGTAACACTGAACTCACGCATAATTTAAGGTGAAATTACTTCACCGGAGGTGGCAGTGACTTAAACAAAGCTGAAAGACCTAGCTGAGGAAGCGGTTTCAAGATATCGAAGATCCTGGCGGAATCTATGCTACAAAGGAGGAGGATGCACAAGCGAATGCTCCAAGCAACCGATGCCTGCAGCCATGCAAAAGCATACATGCAAAACAGGCAAGCCAAAGATGGTGACAACTGTAGAGCATATTACACTGTCGGTCTGAAGCCACTACATTCTCTCCGATTCAGTGCTACGGAATTTAGTAGTTACAGTTTTTCATCGTAGCTCTTGGAATGCATTCCTTTGATGATCAAGGGGCCGTTATTTTCGGGGACCTCAGTATTAGCGCAGCTATGAACCTAAGACCGGAATCTCGTCGATATACGATCGAGTGTCAGCCGATAGCAGATTGAGGAACGATGCGTACTTAAACGTCCCCAAAGCATTCTAAGGTCATTCAGTGCATTTTATCAACGTGGATGTCACAATAACGTGTATTTCGGATAACTTAAGCCCACGGAGGAGCAAACACCGAGATCCTTCTGGGATTAAACTGAAAACAGGGTTCACTTACGAGAAACAGCCACATGAATTAACAGTTGGTTACAATACATTGAATACCATTGGTTGCAGATCATTTATGAACTCTACCTAGGGATTTATGTATAGTTAAGGAGTACCTCGGTATTTTGATGTTCCACAAATTGTAACATCATCCGCTAGTCGTAAGATTCCAGGTTTGAAAAGATTCGGGACGTTGTTGATGAAAACGAGGCCCCAAGCGGATCCCGGTGGAACTCCGCGACTGGACATTGTGAGTTATCGAAGAAACTCCATGTGAACCAACCTAGTGCGTGCTGAACACTTCCGCAGCCCTGCTTGGTGCTTCGTTCGGTTCCGTGCATTGGAAAGTCCAGATCAACCGCGTGCATTGCCTCTCCCTTTTGACTTAATTTGTCCATACAGCTAGAAGAAAAGTAATTTGATGGCACACAATTGCTTGTATCAAAACTCATGTTAGATTGAGAATACTATAGCATATTACCTCAAAAGACCTGTCGCGAAATCTTCCGCAATGGATTCCATGGTTTTCGACAATGCGATAAGGATAACGATGGAGTGTTTCTGGCAGAGTTGCTTGGATAACCGCATTTATAGATTCGTGGTTTCCTGATTAAGGAAGCCAAATGTTTCCAAACGTGCGTTGGAATAGTGGGCTTAGTAGTTTAACTATGTGATTTGATAAAACGCTTCAGGTTCTTGTTACCTGTGCCTCGATGTGAATTTCTTCTTCAGACAGTCATTTCGCATTTATCTTTCCGGGAGTAAATATAACTGTAGTCCAAGGTAGATTTGAGATGTGAACAAAGGATCACACCTCAAATCAAGAGAGATTCCAATCCTCTAATTGTCAATTGCGATGAATATTTGAGCACGCTAAAGTTTCTACAGTTTTCGGGGTTTAATTGGTCTTTCATGATTAATTTACATCCTGTAAAGTGTGGCAGTTATATTCCATATTCGATTTCCCGGGAAGGATTGGCTTGTTAGTGAAAAAGTTACGGACGTGATGTGAATCTCCTCCGTGATACGTTGGTTTGTATTCCAAGGCCATCACAATCCAACAGAAAAGTTTGTGGCCTCTAGTCTGCTGGGTGTGAAAAGGGACAAAGGTCTTTATTCATATAGACAGTGTACTACGGACAGATTGTAGTGTTCCTATGTGCATTTCTATCAGTCCCTTTTTCTTCTGTCATTTCACGATCGTAATGCTGTGGAAGCCATTTCCGATGCCCGGGGTGGGATATAGGGGGCTTCTTTCATTATCATCTGATCTGATCTGTGTTATTTGTTAATTCGTGAAGGAATCAACTCTGCCCACGATTTATGATAATCGTTATCTTAAAATTTCGATTTTTCGAAATCGTCCGATTATTCGACTCCATCAGTGAGGGTCACCAATTCACTCTATATCTCATACGCGAGATTTGTTCAGTCAATGCATGCACCCTATCCGCGTCGGATAGAACTATGGGTTATCTCGCTAATTTTCCGAGGAGAGCAATAGACAAATGAATATCCTTTGCATCCGCTTCATCAGTCAGTGCCACCAAATGTACCCTGGGCTCCTAGCTTAAGGTGACTTGAACAAGTTAAAAAGCCTGAAAATCAAATTATTATTCACTATTTTTGTTAATCTCTTCCTTTCTCTCAATGATTGGGCTTTATGTTCGGCTAGATTTGTGTAGATCGCTGGTAAAATAAT